TGATGCAAATCATCTACAGTTTCCACCTCAAAATAGAGATGTTAAGTTTCTAAGTTTCTATAGATGTAAAAATCTATACTGGAAGTCAGGCTTGCCTTTTTAAAGTTTTGTTTGCACTGTGGTAATACTTTTAAATGAAAAAAGAAAAGGTGGAGAAGGTCAGATGGGCCAGGAAAAAGGTTAGAGGAGAACTTGTGCCTCTTCTGTGTGACTCCTCATGTGCTGCATCTCTTGTCACAAGCTCAGAAGGGCAGGGTGAAAGCTGGGAGATGGGTGACAGGCACAGAGAGATTTGCACATGGATCATCCCTGTCTCTAATCCCATCCCTTTGCTCCTCCTTCCTAGTCCATGCGACAATTATAGCTCTGGTGTTTAGTACAGGCTCTTCCCTGGCCAAGGTCCACCTCAACACCCAGAACACCTGGAAGTCCCTGATTATAGAGGCTATTACAGCTATTCCTCTTCCTCAACTCACTCATTTTAAGCAAAGCTGTCCTCAAACAGCTCTTTAAAAAAGGAGATATTTTCTTCATAACTGGCTCATCAAAAGCCCAATACTTGTAGTCCAGATCATTCATTCTTTGAACTTGTGCTTCAGTCAGATTTTTGATAGGCAATTTATCTAAAATACCCTGAAATAGCCTTAATCATTTCAAGTGGAAACAGTGTGTCCCACATTGAGTCAAATTTTGTATTCAATGTCAGAAATACATGACAGCTGGTGTGCCGAGGATTCACCATAGACAGTGGATTTGTCATTTCCTTTGTTTGTTACTACATTGAGGTTTTATTGGAAACATGCTCAATGATAGGAGATTCTGAAGTTATTCACTATCCATAGCATCCAAAAGGGATCCTGTCATTGAAATAATAAAGCCAAATAGATTCAAAAAAGAAATAAACTTTTAAAATGAAAAAAAAAATCTATTTTTTTTTTACAGAGCTGCTTCATTATGCGCTGCCCACAAGGGTCCATTCTCCCTTAACAGCAGCCAGCTCTAAAGACAAAAAAAGAGAATCATGTGACAGATACCGCAATGAACTCAGGAAAATCAGTTTTATTCCTCTCTGTCTCTTGGAATAGAGTTAACACTGAATGATAGGAAACATTCATGTATGGGTGAAGGGAAAAATAAGAATATTGATGCCTGTAAAAAGTGACTTGGAAGTGGCAGACACTAAATAAACAGGATTTTAATATGATGTGAATTACAAGCACTTGATATAGAGAGGATGATATATTGATTTTCCTCATTCTGAACTATGCATGTCACTAAGATCAATGGAAGTCACAAACCTATATCAAGGAAATTATAATATGTGGAATTATTTATAGAATGGCTGCTTCAGGTACACATCAATTGCAGCATCATAATGGCCAGACTTATGACTGAGGACAAAGCCATCTATTACATATTGTAAATGATAAAGCATGCATTCCCATCATTGCTTCATTCACCACATTTTTCATAAGTGAAATGTAGAACTAATAGAAGGATTCCTGTACAGCCTTTTTTTTTATAAAGAAGCAACAAACATTGTACCGTTTGCCACTAAAAGACAACAATTCCACTTACAAGCTGTCATTAAAAAAACAGCTACAGGCAGTATTTTCCAAAACAGAGTTATGCAATGTACACCAAAGTAAATATGCTGAAACTTTGGGAATCAGTTCTGGATTGCTCAAAATTCTGGGGACCCTGAAGAAACTGAAAAGCAGCAGCACACAGAAGTCCAGCATCTCCAGGCTTCTGGTGGCAAGAAAGCATGAACCTGTAAGTACATGCCTCCCTTTTCCAACAGCAAAAGCTGTGTCATCACTGGCAGACAAAGAAAAAGTCTAACAGCTGCACAGGCATCTTTATAATTTTCATATCTCAAAATTATGGCATTTCCAATAAAGTCTGCTTTTGAATCATCTACAGCTCACTTAGTTTCACAGTAGTCTCTACCTCTTGTTGTTAACTCTTAAAAGAAGCCTTTCAAAGATCAATCCAAACTGTTAGGATTCTGGAGGTTAAAATTGAATTTTTCATTCTACTTGTTCTTTTGAAAGGCTTAAAAGCAATTTGTGGCAATCAGCACAAAGGGATTTGATTGGCAAAGTTTAACAAGGTGATCTAGAGAAGATTCATTGGGGAAAAGACTGCTAAAATTGCAAATTAAACAGCAAATAGTTTTTCTCTGTCTGCCCTTGAAAGAAAATAGGTTCTTTTAGATGTGAAAATCATTCTAAAAGCTTCTAAAAGTACCTAATGTAAATTTTAGAAATGCACAGCATTCAAAAGTAATCAAATAAAAAAGAATGATGCAAAAGTAATCAAATAAAAAAGAAACTACAAAAGGACAAGTGCAACAATGGCTACCAAACAAGTCTGTTGACCTCATTCACAAAAACCTCAAAAACACAGTTGCTGAACTTTCCTCAAGTGAAATATAGGACATTTAGCTAAAACACCTGTGGAAATCAAGGTTTTTTTCTCCTCTCCTTTGCCTATCTGTTCTTTCCTTCCCCGTTTGCTGTCTCAGAATGCCTTTCTCTGTGATGCTCCTTTCTGCATCTGCAAACAGGAGCAGTGCCCAGCGGGAGGATCCCTACCAGGCCACCCAGGCAGCAGTGCTGTGTCCCTTCTAACACTGCTCCAGAGACACTACAGCCCAGGGGAGTGAGCAGCAGTCCCTGCTCAATTTGTATCTGCATAACCCTGTTTTGGAAAATAGCAGCAAAGATACAAAACCCTCCCCATCCAAAGATACATCTTAAACTGCTAGACCAACTCTTACTGGGAGCACTGTGGGGTGAAGTGCTGTGCTCCCATTTGACATTTGTACTCTTCTGTTCTGAATTTTTGGGCTTTCATTGGCCAACTCATGAGGGAAAAAGAGTATCTGGGGAGGGAAAAGAATAAATTTGGGAGGGGAAAAGAGTAATTTGGCTGGGGTTTTTTTCACTTTTATTTTTAAACCTCTAGTTATGTGAACAATGTTAGACTGATAGCAACTAGCATAGTTAGCTTTCTTTCTTTATTATCCTGAGGGTGCAAATTATTTTGTATGCACTACTTGCAAAGCCTTTGCTTTAATCCTCAGACAATCCTATCACCCAAGTCAAAGTCATCGCCCCCTATCCACAACATTTTTCACCTACTTTAGTTCAATTCTGAAATTCATATACAGGGTAAGAGCAGGTTAAAGCTTTTGTCTGTTTGAAACTACAGCATAACTGATAGATTTTACATTTTTGTAATGGTGCTTCAACATCATATAACCATTTGCTTGTTTAATTTTTAAGTATTATTCAGATTTTTTTGCCTTTACACCATTCTTTTGTGACTTCAAATTACTGTTGCCTGCAAATATCACTAATGTGTTCATCTTCTCAACTTTCAAATCAGTCACATGACATAAAACCACTCAAAATAATTTATATTTTGATCTACAAAAACCTACTAGATTTTTTTAGGAACAAGTTCAGGGTTTTTAAAATTATGTTTATGTCTGTGAAAATTTTCCAATCTATTACTCTACTCAATGCTATTCTAACATTATGGTGATTTTGTGTAATTAATTAGTTTTCCTGTGTCTGGTAACTTACTGTAGCTTACATACTTTTATATTTATTGGAGACATAACAGAAAAAAAAAAAGCACTTGAAATGCCAACAAACAAAATTTAACACAGAAAACTCAGAATTCATTAATGATAAAACATGTAGTTATGAAAGACTGCACAAAACTCATTCACTCAGTGAATTACTACAGAGGGATTTATGCAAGGTACAATACATCCAGAACGATACAGCTCAGTTCAACACACCACATCTCACTGCATTAGCAGCACCTTGTGAACTGAACTTACAACTAAGCCACCTCAGCTCATTTACTCTTTATAAAATTACCTTTTTTCTTTAGAACAGCTATCTTTGCCAAAGGACAAAGGGTTTATATGGGTAAACCTATAGTATTAATCAATACGTTAAGTATCTATTTTGGCAATAATAAATATGAAGGTCCAGAATTACCCATTACAGACTGTAAACATGATTGTTTACTTATTATGATCTTTACAAATCCACCATACAAACAACTTGTGTTTCACAAATGTCCAAGATATGATTCAGTTACTTCTTTGCAGGCTGACCAAAATATTTTCTATTAGTTTCGCAGTGATCTTTGCTATATGTTATTCTAGTGTTGGGGATACATATTTTAAAACTCCTATACACAATATGGTTAAAACTGTTATTATATGATTAAAACTATATGATCAAGCTCATTAAAACAATGATGAAAGTTTCTTTAGATAATCTAGCATCTGGATTAATTTTATGATCAAAACTTGTTTACTCAAGAAAGTTTTTTATTCATCAAAGACTCAGGTAATGAGAAATCTTTACATCTTTTAATTACACATTCCTGATAACACCAGACTCAATTTCTGCATAGCTGCAATTTAGAATAAAACATATTTTAATTATCTTCTTCTAAAGCACAGTAAAGATTTTATTAATGGCAAACACCACCAGCCCAAACCTACTTGGATGTTTCTTTTCAATAACACAGACTAGTAAGAATTGCCATCTGTAACAAACGTTTCTTTTGCTGTCTCAATATTTGTGTAGATGTTGAACACATTATTTAATGACTGTGCAAATATTTTTAAAATACCCTCAAAACTGAAATATAACTTTTTTAAAGCAACTGCTGTTCAGACTGCTGCTCAGATTCTACACTCACTGACCCTTGCAAGGTTTCACCTATCTATCTATCTATCTATCTATCTATCTATCTATCTATCTATCTATCTATCTATCTATCTCAGAAACTGTCAATTACTGATAAAACACACAGCTGCAAAGACCCTGCACTCCAGAGGTGACTTAGCAGCAGTCAGGCTGCTGTTCAGCCAGGCTTGGGCTCTGCTGGGCATTTAGAACCAGCCTTAGACCCTCTGTGCTGGTGGTCCTGGCCTAGCTCAAAGTGCATGGAGCCACACCTACCTCCTCATGCAATCCAGTGCCCGAATGAAGAAGTCTTTGTGCAGCTGGTGCTCGTCCCTCAGGATGGTGCATTGCTCCAACGTCACTGACATGGATGTCCTGTCTTTGGCACTTTTGCAGCAGGTGAAGCGCACTCCATTCAGCTTCCGGCAAATCTGAAACACAGACAGGCCCCACAGGTTAGCAATTATTCTCCACCCGGCAGGCTGTGCAGCCCCAACTACTCTGCAAGCCCAGAAAGTGCATCCAGAGAGCTACAGCATTTCTCAAGAAGAAAGCACCTATTAAAAGTTAGTACCGGTACATTAAATTCCTGAATTTGACATAGGATTTTTATAACTATAAAAGAAATTTTTTTATAACTAGAAAAGAAACAATTCCTTCACTGTTTCCTCACTTAATCTAGCAACCACCCTGTTAAATTAAAGCTTAATTGTCTGAATACCTAATAAATAAAGAAAAACCTTGATAAGTCTTAACTCACAAAGATGAATGCAGATTAAATTCTTGTGACGGTATGGAGTCAGACACATCTGAACTTATATAGTTTTTATTTTCAACAGGTAAACTGTTCAATGTATGGATCACAATTAATAAAGTTTAACACAAATGACTGCCATGGATTGTCTACTTTCACTTATATTTAAAAAAGTTATAACACATAAAGGAAACGACATTTTGGAGGATGATTACTCCCCTTAAGAATCAGTCGGTGATTGTAACATTCTATCAGTTTATACTTCAGTTTCAAACAATATTTTACTAGAAAATGAAAAATTTTAAGGAGAGCTGCTGTGCCCAAGTGTGGGTCTACCTTTCCCCAGATATAATTTGTCCTGGGAAAAGGTAATACTTTGCTTACACCTATCCCTGGAGAATCATAGGTATAATTTTGAAGTTTAAACCTCAAAATGTTTGTGAGAAGAGGTTAAGGCAAAAAACTACAGCAGTAATCACAAAAAGGAACTTTCCACACCGGCTATCATGAGAGAGCTTGCAGGATGAACTGGAACATGATCTCCACAATGTCAGTTCAGCAAATAAGTGTTTCTTCATCTGCTAATTGCATTCTCAGAAATTCTATTAAAATCAATAAATACTATTAAATTCTATTTAAATCAGAAAATACTTAGAGCCTTTAAGTTCTTTGTGATACCATGGTGAGGCAATCTCAAAAGTTTAATTTAGGGAATCAATTAAGGGAATCAATTATTACTTAGAATCCAAAGAGGTACAGGATAGTGAAGGAGAACCTATGAGTATTTCTTCTATCCTATAATTTAAAATTTTAAAAGTTAAATTTGTTTAAAAATTTGAACAGTTGCACTGGGATTTAAAACAAGTACTATATGATAATTTTCTTAAATAACGGTGTGAAAGAAGTTAACTCTATAATTGAAGAGATTAATTCTCTTTGCACTAGTATCTTTGGAAGTCCATGATTCATGGGGGCTATTTGACGTGAATGAGTCCTAAAAAAAATTTTAAATATTAAAAAATCATAAAAAAAATAAAGTAAAAAATCCCAGGTAATTATTCTCGATGAGTGATGGGCTCTGATGTAGGGAGACATAGGAGGAGAGGAAAAAGACAACTTCTATTAAATTTATTCTTACAGTCCAATTTTATCAGGGATTACATGCAGGTACAGATACATACGTGGAATCTCGTACACCTACTGCAATAAAAAAGTGATATTCACAGCTACTGCACTGACAAAGTTTTATTCTTACATCTTTTTCAAGAAATAAATGGAATATAGAATAACACTGTGTAGATCACTGGAACCAGACTTGTTGAGGACTCCCCATGTGTGGAGACATGAGGTTTGACTCTATGTTTCAGAAGAAATACACATTTCAGAAAGGTGAAGTAAGGGAACCTAAAGAGAAATAGAATATCATGAACGAAAAACCTGAAACACTCTATATGTCCAAAGAATGCTTTTTACCCATGAAATTATTTTCAGGGAACCCCAAATAGATGGTAAAATACAACTTTCTATACCCAAGGATGTAGCATATTCTTATGTAAATAATTTTGTACTGTATCTTTTACTTTTTTAAAAGCAGTGTTTCATAGTAATTGCAAGACTGGTGCTGCAAGAAAAACATATTTTTCCTTACAAAGGAATTATACTGCAATAGCATGTGATAATATTTATTAACCACATGGCAAAATGTTATTAGTAATATGAAAGTTACAGCACTTTAATTAATACAAAGTTACAGTTAAGACTGTCTTTTCCCTGGTGTTAAAATTAATGTAAAAAAAAAGTAATGGAAGATGTTATTAATAATTTTGTATGAAATATTTATTTGCCTTGAAGGGTATATACATTTTAAAGTCGCCCAAAACACAAAGCCTTGCTTCACTTTCTGTAGATACCAAAAACTCTCTGCTGGTGTAAGGGGGCAGAGATACCAAGGGTATTTTTCTAAATATAAGACAACTACATGGCTGAATTTCGCATTCCTGAAAAGCTTGAGCTCTTTATAAACATCTAAGAGTTGTTTTTTTGGCCTTTTTTTTTTTATGTAAAAAACTTTTTTTTTTTTTTGCACTGTACTGTGTGTGCAAACCCCACAGAATTGGGAAACAGAAAGGAATTATGGGGGAAAAGTAAAGTAAGTATTAATCACTGTTAGATAAACAATTTTCTTTGTGTTCTCCCTGTGTCTGATTGTCTGTCCTTTGCATGTCTTTTGTGACAAGTTACTTGTGAAATTAATTCAATTACAGAAAATCAAAAGTTGAATGCAGCAATAGCAAAAAAAAAACCCCAAAAAACAAAAAAAAAAAAACAAAAAAAAAACAAAAAAAACCCCAAACAAACAAACAAAAACAAAACAAAACAAAAAAAACCCCAAAAAAAAACCAAAAAAAAAAAAACCAGAGCAAGCAATCATTTCCCACATCATACCTCAAGGACACTAAAAACAGAAATTATTTTGAGTAATTTTATATTATCAAAGAATGGAAATTAAACAAATTGCTCAAATTCTAGCAGGTTCTACCAGGTTAAAAAGTGAGAAGAAGAAATTGTCGGCAATTTAGGTGGAAGAAGAAGAGATAAATTTATGAGTGGAATAAGTACATTAAAAACTATTACAGCACATCTGCCTCCTTTAACCAGTGAGTTCTCCAATCATATCCTTAAAATCCGTTGCATTTACAGTATCAGCAAGCTTATAAAAATGAATTCATGATTAGTTCATCAATTTCTTTGAAACAAGAGAGCTTACCGTTGCAGCCAGCCACATGATTTCTACATTCTTTCTCTTTTTGGCCTGGATATTTTGATTAAGACTTTCTAGCAATATCTTTAAATCATTTTGTTCTTGAAAATGTGGTAAACCTGGAAAAAAAAAGGATGATAAGTTGCTCATTTTGATAAGGCTGATGGTATGGTTGTCCTGACTAAAGAATGCTTATGGTAAAGAGCAGGTCTATTATTTACAGCTTTGTTTTGGAACACAAAAATCAGAAAACAAAACTTGAGTGTATTACAACCTACTTTGATGGGATGTTTTTTTATTTTAAAGTCAAAAATTTTGGTTTTGTTTTCAAATTGAAACATCTAATTATTGTTTTGAAATGTGCCTTAGATTTTTATATAATATAACATAAGGGTTAAACAGCACTAAGTATCCCCTCTAAAAAGTAACAAAGTATATTTCTCCTGAAATTAAGTGGGGTTTTATTTTGAACTAGAAAATTTCAAGTCAATTTCAAGTTTACTTAAAATCCAAAATTTTACCTGCTTGTTCTGGGTATGGCATTTAAGTACAAGTTTAATTTATCCTACATCTCTAGCAAAAATTCAAGAGTAAGCAATTTAATTTCTCCCTCTATTTCATATGTATATAGAGGTGCATTTTTTCTAATGTTACCTTTATCTTCACTAGTTTGGAAAATCAATAAAAACAAGCAGAATCTTTTTCTGAAATGATTTCTTCTCATGGTGGCAAAGTAAAAAGAATTTTAATTATATTTATCACCAAAAAAAGGGGTCAGAATCAAGCAAAACAAACTGAAACTAAATTAATCAATGGATACAGTTTCTTCAAGCAAAGAAAGTAAATTGTCCATCCAGTAAAGGAAAAAAAACCACACAATCCAGGCCCCAAACCCAAGCCCAAAGACTTATACTCAATTGAAAGAATAAAAATGAGGGAAGTATTAATGAAGCTCAATATCCATTCTCCTAACATGATCCAAGTTGGAATGATCCCTCAACAGGCTTTTACCTTTTACATCTAATAAATTTTGTAGTTTCCCTTATCCATGATTCATAGTAAGAAGTAATTTAAATACATTCAAAAAGAAATAAGTTGCTTCACTCATACTGTGCTGTCTAAAAAAAAAAACTCAAAAAAACAACAAAAAAAAGAAATAGGGAGGAAAATGTACATCCAGAATCTGTTTTGCAACAATTTCAATGCGGATTGTTTTAACTGTGTATTACAAGTTCTGACTGTACACTTAGATAATGCAGAGCACATAAAAACACATCACACTCTGCTAGATTATTACACTAATGGGTGCATCTTTTTCTTTAATACATAGAGCACACAATTACAAAGATGCTTTGAGATTATGCAGATGTATCACTAAACAATTTATTCCTTCCAGGCAGCTTTCCTTTCATTCACAGCAGAAAATGCGACATCTCAGAGGGGTGACTGCACCACAGGTACAGCAAGAGTCTCCTAATTTATAGAACTGGCAAATGAGTCACGCTCATTGACTGGAAATGATCAATTGCTTAAACCCCTTGGGTCTCCCACAGTATTAAACCACCAAATCAGGCTTATAGATTATGAGGGGGAGGAGCCTGGAAATACCAAACAGCCTTGTTGTTTTCATTATATACTACTAAACAACAATCTTATATTTTTGGACTCCTACTATCCTTAGCATTTCCATAAAAGTGGTGCCATTTTGGTGCTTCAATCAGAGCTATATTTGGTCAGCATTTTTGGTAGGAATCTTGCTGGAAACATGCTCTTATTTTAAGTTTCTGCTAAAAGAATTCAAGAGGTTAAGAAATGGGTAAATGATGAAGTGTATGCTCATATTAAAGAAGATAGAAAGTCAGTGGATGCTTAGTTACAAGCAAGAATATTGGCAATACAGACACAAGAGGAAAACTAACAGGAAAGGTGGCAATACCTTTCTGGGAGTGGAAAATTGAATTTTTTGAAAGGGAATATATGAATGAAGCAGCAGGCCAGGGAGGCTGCCAAGAGTGGATGCAACAGCCTGGCAAATAGGGCTGCGAGTCCTCAAATTCTGTTGGGCTTTATGAGCACTCTTTGGAACTAACAGCTTTGGGAACACAGTCCCGCATTTATTTTGTAGCACAGATTTGGCACTACAGGAAATTATCTGGATAGGTGGGATAAAACCATCAAAGAGCCATCAATATTGAATGCCTCTCACTTGGCCTCAGCACCAGGGCTGCTGCCAGCCTTGTATGGAAATTTGTCTTCCAGAGGTGGGGGAACAAGAATGGGATTAAAGTTCTCCCCTAAATGAACAAGTTTGAGAGCTTCACTTTTTTCCCAGGGGGCTGGCTTAAAAGGCACATTTCTCCAAGGCAAAAGGGGGATTCTGTATGCTGGCAGGGAGCTACTGGTAAGGGCAGTGGAACCAAAAGGTGCTTTGTGTTCTGTAAGAAATTGTATAAAGAAGAGACTCAGTTTTTAAAGGTAGAGAAAAAAGCAAGAAAGTTATAATAACCAGAAAATACATTATGAACTAGACAAGATTAGTTCTCAAAAGCCTTCACAGTCTGAAAGAAGTCCAGGAACTGTGTGGCTCAGTAACAATCCTGCAGGAAGGCAGTACAAGCTTAAATTCTGTAAATGAAAAGCAGCCAATACTATCTGCATGCAAATTTTTGCTTTTATAAAATAAAATCCATGTATGAGGTAGCAGATCTACCTTAGTCCTAACCTGAATGAGGTTAGTTTTTTGAGGATATTTTCTTGGCAAGATTCCCCTAAATTAATCACCCAGCTTGTTGTATGAATTTCTCTGTAGGCATCCTAGAAATACTAGGTCTGTGAGTGGATGGATGGGTATCCTGCCCACCATTCAGGAAGAAAGCTTTTGTTTCTGTCAAAATTATTAACAAATTTAAGTCATCCTGATATAAGAGATAAACGTATTCATACGCATGTGATTTATCAAAGCTTTACACAGCATTTAAAAATCAGGCTGTTAAATCTGCAACATTTGGGACTATAGTTTGTAGTTTGGGCATTAAAACTAACAGGATTAGATTGATGTGAATGTTTTTTCAGTCCTTGCTTTTGGCAATCAGAGTAACAGCATAGTACTGTTTATGTTTATAATACGGAATTTCTATAGAAGTGGAATACAGGGCCTATTCTAATGAAACCTTGTTATTCACATAATGATGATGTGGCTCATTGCTTGTATTTGCATCTGCAGAGTTCTCAGTGGTTCACCAAACCTCAACACATTTTCCAAATAAGAACAGAGGGTATGACTGAAGCTGATGAAATTTCCCACCAAGTATTTCTGTCCAAATACAGTAGGCACAGAGTGTCTTCTACATGAAATATTAAAAAACTTATTATTTTAATAACTTAAAATAGCCATTCAGTTCATCATTCCTCTGTTTCATTTTCTCTGTAGTTTCTGCTGTGACACTCAGCCTGGAATCTCTCTTGAGATCAACAGGGTCATGTACAGATACAAAATGTTTAATTGTATGGAACAAGTTATAGAATTCTGCTAATATTACTGTCTTATAACCTTTTACCCATCAAAGTTTTTCAAGGCCACCTGGACATTGCATTATTTTGTACTCACAATCAGGAGGCATTTTTTCTGTAAATAACTTGTAATATTCCTTGAGAAGTTCTAAGTTTTCCTGGTTAATGTTTTCCTGCAAAGTGGTATCTCCAAACCTATGAAAATACACAATAAATTATGAAAAAAAACCAAAACCCACAAAAAACAACAACAAAAAAAATTATCCTTCATAATTAATTCTTTGCATAAAGAAATAACTTTGGTTTTATATTACTTGTCTTATAGTGCTGAATGCATTAGATTTTGTCAAACATGCAGTAGTTAAGTTCTTATATGCTTTGGAACTAATTTTTGGAAATGAGATCATCACTGATGCATACTTCTTCCAAAAGTTCATTAACAAAGCAATCTATTTACAAGCATGCAATAAGGCACTTTTTTTTTTTTTTTTTTTTTTTTTTTTTTTTTTTATTGGTGTTTGGGTTTGGTGGGGTTTTTTTGGTTTTTGCCCTCACAAATCCTGAATAAATGGAAAGGCACTTTTGGGGAATTTCAAATGGTACCATAGGCAGAGAATACCAACTCCTCCATCTCTTAGTGCAGCTGTTGCTTAAGCATATTAATTTCTCTAAGAGCTGGACAATATTGAAGTGACACAAGATGGAAGAGAAGCTTATCTACAAACTAGCTATAGCTATAAAAACAAATATCTTTCTCTCTGAGATCAAGATTTCTACAACAGCCACATTTCACATGCCAAGAAAATAAATCTCACGGTACTACAGGAGATATGAGTGTAAAGACATGAATGTCCCTGTGGCAGTTAGGGCCAAGTTTTTGCAATTCATCTTTAAAATAGCTTTGAAATGGAAATGGAGGAGTACATGAAGAGAGGCATGGGCAGGTAAGTGAGAAACTCAGGTAGAGAGAAGGGGACACAGATCAGAAGACACCAAATATACTGCTACATTGTGTACAAGGGAAGCAAATATTTCAATGGGGCACAGGGAGAAGATGTGACTACTTCCTCAATAGCCATTGCTGCATTGTCACATGAGAATGTTTCTATTAAATCAGAAATACGGTCAAGTGTATTCTATCAAAAAACAAATAAAAAGATTTTTTTTTTCTAATAGAGTAACATTTCCTAGAAATTTGCCAAAAAAATGTTTTTATATTCTCATGTTCTTTATCCCACAAAACCCTCCATATTTTTAGCAAAAAATCATGTGCAGTGTTTTCAGTCTCAAAAACAAATGTACAACTTTAGGATTAAGTTAAGGAATATTTTGAATTAAGACAAAAGCAGACTGTAACTGCATACAGAAAAGCTGCTTCTGCATTGAACTTATTTGCTTGGTAGATATTAGTACATATCCATATTTATAGATATGTGGCTATTATGTTTTCTCTCATGGCTTTCTTTGTGCACAATGTAAAATGACCACCAGGAACAATACCTCCTACCACTTCACTTGCAAGCCAGGCATCTTTTCATACCAACTCCTCTACAAGCCCCCAGGTAATCAGGCTATTTCTAAACCTTGTCAAATTTTTCCTCAGAACACTGGTAACACTCAGTCCTTCCCACCTATCTCACACATGTAAGCTCCCACTGGCCTGCTTCTTGGTTACCACCTCATGTCTTATCTCTCATTTTTTGAGTGCCCCATTCAGAACTGTCATGACTGATTTTGTTGGTTTTGCTCATTATGAGTTTGGCCATATCACTGCTCTCAACGCTTTCCTCTTTATGGCATCGAGAACAACATCTTTTCATTTTCAAGAAGTTCCCAAGTTCTCTAACCAACTATCCAACTCTTTCACCAGTAAAATGCCAATTTTTTCTGTCTTTCGTTTCAGTCTATGTCTCCCATTTCAATTTTCTGCCTAAATTTTCTCACATATCACCACTCAACTTGGAAAAGTGTTCCATAAACATTCACAAAGCTACCTGATGGCATTCTTTAGTAGACTTCTTTAAGAGACTGATTTTACTTGGCTGTCTACAATGAGCAGGAGGTGAAATCTTGTGGTGCTTAACTTCTTGCCTATTATCCAGGTTAAGGATTTTCACTGTCTCCCTCTATCACTCCAGCTACAGCTTTGCTATAAGCTTTTGGCTTACAGCAAACGCAAGCTAAAGATAAGTATTATGTATTTTGGATGCTCTGTTAATAAAAGCAGCTAAAAGAAAAAAAAGTTTTTAAAAAGTAGCTGTCTGTATTGACATCTTGACTTCTACCTTTCAGTTTTAGCACTGCACAAATATGGTAATTTAATATGACCGACAGATACCCTTCTCTTGGAAGAGAAAATTAATACATTTGTGAAACTTTGACTATTATTATACTAATTCATTAGTTTCCAACAAGCTGTTGCAGAGGAGTACTAATAACACATCAGAACTTTATCAGCCTTCACATTTCTACAAACATACTACTAATGAATTCCCTATTATTAACTACCACTCCACAACTGTGGGAAAAAGCCCTAAAAAACGGAGACAATTTCTCTAGCTTATCACTTGTCCAGACTCTTCAACACCTTCTTAAGAACTTTGAATTTTCAAACTTGTTTGAGAATTTCAGAGTACTGCATACAAAAAAAATTCTGCATCTGTGAAATATTTTGCATCTGTATCCAAGAGAAACATGGCACTGACTATGTGAAATGAAGCCCTGCTTATGGTCTTATCTTCATCTGGACTTTTTTATTGTTCTACATTGCTTCATAGCTTGTGTTTATTTCCTTTAATACCATTGAAAATACACACTGAGTCAATGTGAGATTTTCCAAGAGCAAATAACAAAAAATATTTATTTCTAATCCTGAGAGATATCCTGTACCAGCATGGAGTACTTGCACAGAAAATGAAATGTGACTTTTTCTTACCTCTCTGCCAGTGTTTGCTGTTCATTGATTCCAACATTAAAGAGCACTGGATACATGCGAAGCAGCTTTCCTTCTTTAATCTCTTGTGGCAGCAGCTTAAACATCTTTGCTGGAAGTTGGACCTCTATAATGTAATGTTCACTACGAAAAATATAAAACAAGAATAAGGAGAGGGTTCTTGAGTGGTCTGCTTAAAATAATCTTCCAAAATTATAGAGAATGTGCAAACTTACAAATCCCTCCCTTTTTCCCTTAATTGAACCATAAAAAGGGATAATTCAGCTTGCTTGTTTTAAGACCATAACCAAGCTATATGAAGAAAGGCAGGTATAACTGTGTATAACTATAAACTAACTTTACTGAAGTGAAAATAGAGATATATAAATCAGGATGAAAGCAGCAAAAAAGTCCTCTGCTACCAAAATATCAATATGAATACCTCAACTCTTAAAATGCAACTTGCTGAGTTACAAAAACAACTTGCTTCCAAAGTCACAACTTGATCTGGTATCCACTCTAAAAGTAATATGAGCAAAAACGTTTCATAAAAACCCAAAGTGAAACTCGCATTTTCTTCAGTGGTTGGATTTTCTCCCTGGGGCTAGAAAGCATCACCAACAACAAAATTGTGAAGATGATAACTGAAGGCTCATCACACAAACATGAATCCTGATTTTGGAGATATATACCAGTTCTGGGCTTATATTTGTGTTCGGTCTGACTTCATGAAAAATGTGCTACTTTGGCTGCCAGGCCAAATTCTGATCACATGGAAGCCCCCAGTAGGATTCCACCTGCCTTTGAGAACTGGTGCCTCACCCCACAACAGAAACAATGGGGTGATGTTATCTTAGCTTTTATTTGCTTTCTTTTCATTGTTAGAGCAACCAATCTAAATTAAAAAAAGGAAAAAAAAAAAAAAAAGAACAGACTAGAAGAAAACCCATTTGTTTCCAGGATCTGGTATTTTAATCAGAGAGGGCTGACTGATAATGGAGGCTGAAATTTTCACTCCTGCAGAGAACATCTGAAATATGAAACCAGCAACCGAGGGTGTTACAGCAACAAAAAGGAAGGAAGATCTGTTCTGCCTACAGAAGCCAGGCCAAGGAAGTGACTCAAGTTTTGTATGTAAATTTAAGACAGATAATCCTTTGCACCTATGTAAATAATCATGAAGTCCCTCCAACTCTTCAATCACATACTTGCTAAAGAATAAAAATGCCCTCTGGAGAATTTGGGTGAGAAAAAGACAGAAAACCTTGAAGAAAAATGTCAGTTTCTGCAGTAGCTCTGACACCTTTAGCAAGCTTGAGGGATGACTGGAACCAGCTCAAGTGTTTGGAAAAACAGATTTCACTTGGGAGAGCCAGTGGTCATGTTTAAACTTTATCCTGCTCATATGTCTGAGAAAAAAGTAAAATGGATCCAAGGCAGACCTGTGACTGCAATGTAATTGCATTCAGCAAGGGCAGCAACATCTGCTTAGTACAGGCTAGAACTGGCATGCAATCTTTCAGCAAATGCCAGATGTTCCCCACTGAGAGGGAATATCAGTCCTGCATGGAGAATACATGTCTCAGGGAGGAGGGAAAATCAAAATAGTTCTGCTTCCCAGGTAAGTTTGTGTTTTGTTTAATTAATTCACCCACGTGAAAGAAATAGAGAGCAAAAAAGGAGAGTAAAGAATGTGGCTCCCATGATCTCTGCATAGCAGCATTAATTCTTAGCTTGTCTGAGAGCCCTCCTGCCTGCTGTCAAGTGCTACCAGAACACTCTGGAGATGGAGTGCTTTGATGAGCTTAAGAAAGATTGGTTTAGTCTAATTCAAAGAGCATGCACTACAGAACTGAACTGCCACCAAATTACTGCATTGCTGTATTTCACTACTCCCAAAATCACTACAAATCTCTGCATGTGAAAGAACACTGAGAAATACTGATCTTTAGGCATGATAAATTAGTATCAGAACAGTTTGAGACTTCCCCCTTGTCTTTTTTTTTTTTTCAGAACACTTTTTGAAGTCTCAGAGATAATCTTGGTAACTTGACAAAGTCTGCTACCAATTGCACAATGAAAACAATGCGTTTCTGTTTGTGGAAGGAAAAGCCCGTAAAGCTTTCTAGACAGAGCTGTCTAGAAAGTCCAGGAGTAGTACTGAAGTCAAATGGAGGCAAAAAAAGAAACAATTCAAAGTAGTACTGGAGTACTGGAGGAGATCTGGAGGACTTGTTTGACAACAGTTAGCCAAAAATCTTACAGGTCTATGATTGTACTTAAAGAAAAAAAAATAAATATAATAGTAAATTTTATCATCATATGCTTTCTCTTTCATGGCTACATTCAGTGCAGAGCTATTAGGCAGGAGTTCGATTAGGTGGGTACAACATTTTCCAATGAGATGCAAAAATCAGTATATAATTTTTAACATTTAATGACCTTTCAGAAAAACAGAGTGGAGAAAGCAAGCATGTGTTTTAAGAGACTAAATAATAAATCTTCATCTATTGAGGAAGAAACTGTATAAATTTAGATTTTAAATATTTAAATGTATATGATTTTCCTAAACAGGACTGCTTTAAAATATCCCTCTCTAACTTTCTTTGCATTATTCTTTAATATTTGTTATCATCACGTATGAAGATAGACAAACACTTGTAATCCTGGTAGAATGCTTCTAAATGGTACCCCCTACACGGCTGAGGTTCATGGATCCTGCAGCTGTTCTGAGTTGGCCAAAATCACACGCCTTTAACTCATTGCAGTAAACCCACAACAAGTAATTTACATGGACTTTGGTCAGTCACAGCAACTCAGCTTGGAGGTTCTTTACCCAGCTCTTCTTTCAGCTGAGTGCAATGTTTTAGATAACTTCAGTGTGGGTTTAAGTGCTAGTCCAGTCTTAGGCTTTGTTGATAACATGGTGTAAGAGACTATGATACCTCAAAGTTCATGTGCATAATCATAGAATGGTTTGGGTTGGAAGGGACCTTAAAGATCATCTAAATTCAACTCCTCTGCCATGGGCAGGGACACCTTTCACAAGACCATGTTGCTCAGAGCCCCATCCAACTGGGTTAGGAACATTTTCAGGCATCAACAACTTCATAGTGCAATCTGTTTCAGTCCCTCACCACCCTCAGAGCAAAGAATTTCCTCTAACATCTGATCTAAATCTCCCTTCTTTTAGTTTGAATACATTCCCCCTTGTCCTATCTCTCCATGCCCTTGTAAAAAGTCTCTCTTGTAATCTCATTTGGTACTGGAAAATGCTGTAAGGTCTCCCCAGAGCCTTGTCTTCTCCAGGCTGAACACTCCCAAGTCTCTCAGCCTGTCTCCATGAGAAATGCTCCAGCCCTCTGATCATCTTCATTAAGCCCTCTGGTCTCCAATAGGTCCACATCCTTCTTATGTGGGGTCCCAGAGCTGCCTGCAGTACTGCAGGTGGGGTCTCATGAGGATAGAATAGAGAGGAAAAGAAAGCCAACTCCTTTGACCTGCTGGTCACACTGCTTGTGATGCAGCTCAGGATATAGCTTTCTGAGCTGCATTCTAATAAATGAACCCACCTAATTGATCTAGGAAAACCAGCAGACATAACCCTTTTGGACTTCAGCAAAGCTTTTGATACAGTCTGTCACAGTATACTTCTGGACAAAATGTCCAGCACACAGTTGGATAACCGTGTTATGCGATGGTGAGCAACTGGCTTACACGTCAGTCCCAAAGGATTATAGGGAATGGGGTGACATCAGAATGGTGCCCAGTCACTAGTGGGGTTCTGCTGGGCTCCGTCCTTGGCCCAGTGCTCTTCAACATCTTTGTTAGTGACCTGGATGCGGGACTCAAAGGAATGCTAAGTAAGTTTGCTGATGATAGTAAACTGGGAGGGATTGTCAACTCCCTTGAGGTCAGAGAAGCCCTGCAGAGGCCTCAACAAATTAGAGAGATGGGCAATCATCAGTAGTAGAAAGTTCAACAAGTGAAAGGCCAGATTCTACATCTGGGATGGGGCAACCCTGGATGTGCAGACAGACTGGGAAATGAGGGGCTGGAGAGCAGCACTGTGCGCAGGGACCTGGGGGTCCTGGTCGGTGGAAAGTTGAATGTGAGTCAGCAGTGCCTTGGCAGTCAGGAGGGCAACTGTGTCCCGGCGGGCATCAGGCACAGCATTGCCAGCTGGGCAAGGGAGGGGATTGTCCTGCTCTGCTCTGCACTGGGGCAGCCTCACCTCGAGTGCTGGGGGCAGTTGGGGTGCCACGATGTAAAAAAGACATGAAGCCATTAGAGAGTGTCCAAAGGAGGACCACGATGATGGTGAAGGGCCTTGAGGGGAACTTGTATGAGGAGTGGCTGAGGTCACTTGGTCTGTTCAGCCTGGAGAGGAGGAGACTGACGGGGAGACCTCGCAGTTATAACTTCATCAGGAGGGGAAGCAGCAGGGCAGGCACTGATCTCTTTTCTCCAGTGAGCAGTGACAGGACTCGACTCCAGGAGGAAGCAGCCTGAGGCTGTGTCAGAGGAGGTTTAGGGTGGATGTCAGGAAAAGTTTCTTCAGCCAGAGAGTGGTTGAGCAGGTTGAACTGGCTCCCCAAGGAAGTGTCACAGCACCAAGCCTTACGGAGTTCAAGAGGCACTTGAACTCAGGCACCGGGTGTAATTCTTGGGAAGCCCTGTGCAGAGCCAGGAGTTGGACTTGATGATGCTTGTGGGTCCCTTCTAACTCAAAATATTCTGTGATTCTGTAAACAATGTTCAAAAAGTGCCTATTTTGGCCTGTAATAAAAGAATGCGAGTTCCTGAACAGAATTTCACCTCCCCTGGGTGGCTGGTATCTACTACCCACACCAGCAGATCAGTGCACTGCTAGACAGTGCCACACACTTTGGATTGATTTGTTTGTGCACACAGAATGTCAGGTTTAAGTACTTCCCTAGAAAAAACAATTACAAGTGAATATACTGACTCTTCAAAATTAGAATTTGTAGTTTGATTTTCTGTCTTGCGTTTTTACAGTCTAGTACTCTCATTTATTGAGCCATATCATATAACAACCAAAATAAAAATGGAGGGTTTCTTAAACAATTATTAGAAAATAACTAGATTTTCACCATCTTCTCTTTTTATGGTTGACTTCCAGTGCTGTTTGATAGGAGCAGTCTCATCACAGCTCAAATAATTGGACTCCTCCACATAAGCCTTACAGATTTTTTTTTTCTGATACCAATCCCATCCAGTGAATATCTGCCAGTAAGTACAGTACAGCAATCACGGGCTGTAGTTCTTCTTCCTAAACACTGACTGCTCCATCAATCCAGAATGCCTGAGGCAGCTGAAAGTTCAAATCTAGGACCTCCTGCTGTGACAGCTCAGTGTACCACAGTAATGGCAGCAAACCAGCAAATGCAGATGCTGGATTTTTCAGGATTTTTGACTGCTGTCATTTACAAAGGATGTATTTCTTCTGTTTTATCCACACATCATAATTATTCTTAATTATTCCCAATGTATTGCCTATGATACTTCAGCCTTCCTGTTATTTATTTCAATCCTTTCTCAAAAAGCCCATACAGTGAGAGTCAATCATCCAGAATAATTAAGTAAATCACTGGTGAAAGACCCCTTCAGAGGGAACATATATTTTCTAGAAGTTGCTGATTTTAGCTGAATTTAATTTACAGTCATTGTAAGAATAATGATACTATTAAGGAAGCGATTTCTGAAAAATAAAAGCATTTGGAGCTTCAGACTAGAATAATAATAAAGATGAAAAATCCATTCCAATCCTGTTAACCCTCAAATAGCCAAAATTAATGGAGTATTGCAGTTTATGTCCTGATATTCAGCAGTACTTACATGAGATTCATAAATGATAAGTGATTTTGTGCAAGGATTTCTGAGACTGCATATGTCCTGTGGGATTTTCAGCAGCTAAAAAAGTTTCCATTTTTAAAAGTGACTACTAAGTTTTGAATGCTAAGTGGCATCTGATTTTTTTGGTTTCCATCTTAAAAACAATCAAGGCCTAACTCTTGGAATTGCAATTTCATTTCAAACACTGAAATAGAAATTTGGGACATTCAAAACCAAAGTTTCTCAGTTACAGACCACATTTGTAAATAATGACTTTTTCACCTGTCTAGGATTCAGTATCTATGTGTGAATAATGCACCAGCAGCTCTGCACAACATAGACGTTGTTCTGATTAATTTGTATTAGTAACTGGAACTTTTAGCTTTTTATCAGGAGAGTAACCCAGAGCTTACTGGCTTTTAGAATCCCTACTACCTCACCTTCTGAAAAGTAAAACTATTGCGCTTTCAATAAAATAGAATTCAGCAACAAGAAAACCATTAGGTTTCATGGGCTACAGATTAAAACTGTAGCTTTGTTTCCTGGGCTTCAAGAAACAAAGTTCTTACCGCCTTCCAGTTATAATAGGCAAAAAATCTTCTGACTTGGCTTCAATTACTTTAAACATTACTTTCTGCAAATCTGAAATGCCCACAGCCATATCTTCTAGCATCCCTGCTTCTTCACCTACATGAAAAGATTAAAGAGATTATTAACAGAGTTGGCAGATCGGTCACTGTATAGGTTAGAGTAAAGTAATATAAGGATTATATTTTCCAGCCTAAATCACAGTTCTAAATCCACATTACAGTAATCTACATAAAACCAGACTAATTTCTTGAACTGCTGACAATTCTGTGGCCTAAATGGTAACTATGAGTATTAAGCAGTTCTGAAAATCAGCCTGTTCTATACAGGCACAGAATAACCTCAGAAAAGCCATTTTTGTCTATTCTGAAAGTGTTCAAAAGCCTTTCCTGCTGATGGAGGACAAAAGTTTTGAGAATAACAACAAGTATCATGCAATATGGAGAAGACAGCTATCTCCAAGTGAGCACCTGCATTAAAAAGCTGCACAAATGCTATATTCCTCTACTTTAGCCAAAACCTCTGATTCAGAGAATGATTCCAATAGATGTAGTTCAAAGTTGAGAACATAAGGCAATTTCTTGTTCAAAATTTCCTTTTTAAGACATATCAAATAATGGCATCCATAACAAACTACGAAACAGTTTTCAGGCTATCTTCACATTATCAGCACTGGTAATCAGGGCTGAGGCTGATAAAGGCAGTAAGTATTTAAATCTGCTGTTTCAGTTAGCTTTATAAAACTGGTATTTTGGGTCAGGTCTGCATGGAACAATTAGCAGGTCATGTTCTCTGAGGAACTCAGAATGAAATAGATTAATAATTTTTGTGCAGAATTGGCAACACAGTATCAATGACTTCAGCTGTGCTATTATGTGCAAGTCTACTGTCCTGTAAGGACAATATTTGATTCAACAAGCCAAATTACTGGAAACAGAGCAGAGGTTAAAATAAGAACTTCCTGGGTAACTTCTGGGCCAGGTACCTAAGGAACTTTGTCCAAGAACAATACTTACTATATGTACTAAGGAGTCCTTCATATTGCACAAGCAATCCAACAGTATGAAGCTGTTGTAAAAATCCTTGATCATGTAAACTTGAGTGCAGTTTGATTATGAAACCACAGACCAATCCAGCAAGCTGTAAAGATAATTAAAACACGTGCATCTAAGTAAGAGGTGTACTGTTACAGGACAAATAGTTAAAATAAGGTTTGCTATCATTATACACAACAGAGGTAACACCTACATATTTAAGAAAACAGCATAAGTATTTCTGTTTAGTGACCATATACGTGATTTCATAATAATGTATTTTGATGCTTTTTTTTTGGGTGTATAAAGTAGTGAAATATTCTGTTAATTTATATTATATAAGCTTAATTTGTTTTGTGTCACTGTATGTAATTTACACTGACATAAATCAGACCAGAACCTCACTTGTCAGGCTTTAAACATGTGAGATTGTGAATTATGATGTGAATAAAACATGTGAATGACGATGGATTTGAAAGTGGTTCAACATCTAATGCAACTGAATCTCCTTGGCAGTTGCAACATACAACTTAAGGGAGAAATTAAGTGAAATATTTCGAGAAAAATCTATCTGAAAAAACATGATCTACAGGAAAAGATATGAAGAGCTTCAGTTATTTGCCAAGGGAAAACAGTTCTAAGGAAAGACATGCTAATAGTCTTTAAACACTTAAAATACTGCTACAAACTGAAAACAAATAATCTGCTCTCTATTTCCAAGGTGACCAGGAGAAAAAAATCTCCCCTAGCTTGGACGCTGCCTAGCCAGTGCCCCACGAGGCCGCATCTGGAGTGCTGTGTTCTGGGCTCATTAGGACAAGAAAGACAAGGAGCTACTGGAGAGAGTCCAGAGAAGGAACACAAAGATGATTTCGGTCTGGAGCATCTCTCTTGTGAGTAGAGACTGCAGGGGCTGGGCCTGTTCAGTCTAGAGAAGACTGAAGGGGATCTCATTAATGCACATAAATACCTCAAAGGTGAGTGCCAGGAGGATGTGCCAGATTCTTTTCAGTGGTCCCCAGTGACAGGATGAGGAGCAAAGGGCCATAAACTAAAACACAACACCTTCCACCTCAACATGAGGAAGAATTTCTTTACACTGAGGGTGGCAGAGCACTGGAACAGGCTGACCAAGGAGAATTTGGAGTCCCCCTTCTGGATACATTACAACCCCACCTGGGTGTGTTCCTGTGTCACCTGCTCTAGGTGACCCTGCCTTGGCAGGGGGGTTGAATTGGGTGATGTCCAGAGGTCCCTTAACACTACCTATTCTGTGATTCTGTGATTATGAATATCAGCATGATATAGTCAAAGCTAGACTTGAGAAGTATATAATCTAGGAAGTCTAAAAATAGATTTCTGGATATTTATTTGTGCAAAGGCAGGATTAGGCAACTTTTCCAGTCCATTGCAGACCTGCTTCTCTGACTTAGTGATAGAAGCACTATGAATTTTTACTTACTATTTAGTTTCTTACCACATTATAAAATATTTAGGTAAATAGAATGGAAAATAAATGAAAAATTGTGTCAAATTGGAAGGAAAAAACCCCCAAAAAAACCCCCAAAACACCAAAAACAAAAAAAAACAAACAAAGAAAAAGAACCCAAACAAACCACAAACACTGGCATGAACATTATACTTATGAACAGCAACAGAAGGAAGTAAGTGACACAAGACAACCTACTGCTTGGCTAAAGACGATGTCTCTTCTTAGGGTCAGCATCAAACACTGGGGCAAACCACAGGCAAGTTCCTGGAGCAGGATAAACGCCATGGATTGCTTGGCCCTGGTCACCACCTCTCCCATGCAGTCCTTCAGTGTAATCACCAGCGGGTACAGCTGTTCATACCAGTCACCTAGAACAAAACAGGTCTTCTGTTCCAAAGTGGAAAACTTGCAGTGAAAAACCCTTTTCCACTAGGAAGGACAGTGGCAGCAGCTGTGTAGATCAGCCTTCCCTTTAAAACAACCCTTGCAGTTCTCCTCAGACCACTGTGGGATCACAAATGCCACTGGAGAACATGCTTATAAGTAGGACTCCATCTTACCACTGGGAATGGGGTTAAATCCCTGGCCTGAATCCAGCTGCACTGTGAAACAATGGCCGTTTCTAACAGTCCCGGCATCTCTGTAAAACTTGTATTTAAGTGTCACAGACAGAGTATACAGGGAAACACACAAATCCTCATTTAGCACATAAAGATTAATACAGTGGAGATTAAGATCTCCTTTCCAGGACTTACAACTGGCTATGTAAGAAGTGAAGTAGCATCAAAAATGTAAAAACAGAGAGGATAACCATGTATTTAAGAAAAAGTGGGTGCTGGAGGGCAAAACACAATAAAAAATAGGTATCTGGAAGGGTACCTGCTTAATCTACAGGCTGGAAAAATAATAAGCTTTAGATCATATTCCTTTTTGGTTTTTTTTAGCTTCTCTCTATGTTGTTCTCTTTAAATATTTAGAGATATTGAACTCATTTTAACTATTTCTATCAGAGAGATGTAGACTATTTTGAAACATGTTTTTCCCTGTAAAAATACATGCTATTACTAAATATATTATTTATATATAATATAAAAATTATTAAAATATATTATTTATATATATGATATAAAATGATGTATAAATAATAATATATAAAATATTAAAAATACCCTAGTGAAATGCTTGAAAAATGTGATTCCTTAATACATTACAAATGAAACAGTGATAACTAGAAATGAAAGAAAATCAGAACACCTTCCACAAACTTGCCCAATAATCCCAGCTGTTCCTGAATTTTACAGGATTTAATAGCATCAGACCTGCATTGTAGTTGCTTTGCCTACCTCTAAGTTGAGCACATAATAAAAACAAACAAATAAATCCTCCTCCTTCAGAATCTACATCTCAGTTTCATTGCACAGTTTGAAATGGGGGAAATCAACACTCTGGAAAAATCTATAAAAGTTGGGAATACAACTGACAATGCAACAGTCTATAATTGGCTCATATTTTCTGTAGATTAGTGTAATTAAGAATCAATGATAATTAAAATCTGTTATAATTAGGTGCAAGACAGCAGCATCTTGTTTCAGATAACATTCTGAGTCAGGCCAGTAAAAACTCATTAGTACTGAGGAAGTTCTTTAGGCAGGAAGACACAGCTGACTGGTGCCAGTCAATTTGGCAGAGCTCCAGAAAAACACATAAATTAATAAAATTGTAGCCAAGAAGACTGGAGAGAACTTTCAAAGTTGGGAGAAATGAGAAAAAGCAAGGAGCAGGAAAGGGGAACAAGGACAGAGCAGGCACAGAGAACAACCTGAGCTCCTTTATTGTCTTTGTGGTCAGACAACATGGGTTTTAACACAGTCATACATATTTAACCATGAGTAATACAGACTGAGGAAGCATTCCCTGGAAAACAGCAGTTCTGAAGTGAGTGTCATCCTGACAAAACAGATCATAAGCTACCCCCCGGTACCAGGTCCAGGTGATTTTACACATGTCATTGACTAACAGAGGGATGACACACTGCGTGCCAAGGTCTGGTGTACACGTTTTAAAGAGACTGCTGAAAAAATGGAGAGCTTGCAGGGCAGAGCTACCAAGATTTAGAATTTAATCTCCTTAGGATGATGAAAAAGGCTGAGCAGCAACTTGATTTCCCCTCTTCATGAGGAGAAAATAACAAGGACTAACTGTGGTGTTTATTCTAGGGAAAAAAAAGCAAAAGAACAACCAGAGGCTGCTGCAAAACACAGACAAGTTTAGAAATAAGGTAGACAAAAAAGTGTGATACTGGAAGTCAGTGTAGACAGATCAGGCAATCTAAACTCTCCTTTCAAGTCAAATTACCATCCTTTATTAATAGCAATAAAAGCAATTGGAGCAAAATAAACTCAAAAGATGTAATGCACACTGAACCAATAAGGAGGGCTGGTAAGACTACAGTTTGTTGGCTGCCTCTTACTTGAGCAAATAATGAAAAATATTATACTTGGCCATTTCAAAATAGACTTGAGGTACAGCAGGCATCTATTCCTCCTACATGGGAAAGGAGAGCTGGATACAGATACAGATGCCAAGGATATGGCACATACTCTGATAGCCGGGGCAGAAAAAGCAGAATTTCTAGAACTAACTACACTTCTTGAACCTGCTATTACAATTTCAGGTTATGTAGATAGGGCTAAAGAGCATTTCTGACAGCCTTTTTCATAAAGGAAGAGCATGTACGGACAGGAGGAGGGGGAATGGATTCAAACTGAAAGACAGTAGGATTAGATTGGATATTAGGACAAAATTCTTCACAGTGAAGGTGATGAGGGACTGGCACAGGTTGCCCAGAGCGGCTGTGAATGCCTCATTCCGGGAAGTGTTCAAGGTCAGGCTGACTGGGGCTTTGAGTAACTAGGTCTAGTGGAAGGTGCCCCCGCCCAACTCCTGCAGATGAGTTGGATGGAATGAGATGGCCTTTAAGATCCCTTCCAACCCATGTAATTCTTTAAATTTATGAACAGAGGGGGTCACATACTGGCCACAAGTCACATAATACTTAGATCTGTTTTAACTGAGCTACCAGTTAACCAGACCACCCACTGTGGATTTCTGTTTCTTCAGGAACATAACTTTGTATTTCTCTTTGGATGCAGGATGAACTGCATCCCAATATTTCAGTGCTCTGTTTCACCAGAATCCATTCTAATCCTGCTCCCACAATGCTTAAAGCCTCTCCCAGCTTTAAGCATCTGCAAATTTTATATGCATCATGCATATTTCATAAGGCAAGTCAGTAATAAAAATACTGAGTAATACTGGACCCAGAACAAATCTAAGTGGATTCTTCTCCATGCAGCCTTCTAGGTTGGCAGTAAACAACGGATAACCACCTTCTATTATGATTTTCCAAATTTGCACATACCTTGTGGTAGCTTCAAGATAATTTTCTCACAACATTTTTTGAGGGGAGACTACATGTTTGGAATACTAACTTACTAATTTACCAACATAAGCAGTTTTTGTCTGTAATAGTTGCATTTAAAAGGAATTCAAAGACTTTAAATTCTCAAGGTCATGTTTTTATTGAAGAACATTCATACTAAATTTATTAAAAATAAATCCTACTGAATACTTAATGTCCCAAAGAATACAGAGCCTAACTTACATATGTATTTGGCTTTTTAGAAACAACAAAAATTATAAATTTGTAGAAAACCTTACCCTAGCAACTGAGAAAATACAAATTATTATAGAATATAGAGTTGCACATGTCACTAGTAAACAGGAGAATCTTTGTGTGATTAAGTTTTCCAAAACAATCTTCTGCTCCTTGCTCACACTGAAATTGTGTTAATAAGGATGTCCAGTCCCCAGAAGGTGGAGCTAGTTGGCAAATGTGACAGGGATTGCGTTGTTTCTTGAAAAAAAAAGATTATTCATGAATGGACAAATATATTCTCATGCTTATGCTTTATTTAAAATCAAAATAAGAGGTGTATCAGAGACTGAGATCTTAGAAAAGCCAATTCTAGGAAGTAAACAAAAGGTGCCTAATTTTTGCTCGGTTAAATTTCACTGTGTCACTTGTTATGCAGGATGTCCTGCTGCAAATATTCCAGCAGGAATATGAATGAGAATCATTAATTAACAATGCACAATGGTCCAAAAATCCAGCAGTAACACCTACTTATATGCAAGTACTGCAGCTTGTGAGTTATTCCTTGAAACTGAGAAGCACTGTGAAACTGAAGTTTGTGAAACAAAAGAACAAATAAACATTGTATTTTGAAGCCTCCAAGTAAATTCAGTAGATCTTGGAAAAAAAGATTGTTTTGTATGCAAGGCATACATATATAATACTAATGCAATTCATATATAGACATTATTTGTAAAGGGAGCTGACATGTCTAGAGCTCTCTTAGAGTGACTGTAGAATCACTTCGTATACATTGTAAAATATAATATCTTTCCAAATACCAATTATTATTTCCAAATAATTTCTTTGTAGAATCACTTCAGAAAAGGAATGATACAAATTATTGCTTTTAACACATTCACAGACTCACACACATTGAGTCTTCAGATCTCAACTTTCTTTTAAATTAAAATCACAAGATTTGTATCCACAACACAGTGGAAAATTGTTTGGAAAAGGGTAAAAAATTAACTGAATGAGTGAACATATGAAAAAAAGAGATTAGGAGCAAGAACAGAAGCAACAAGGAGACTCCAGGATGACTGTCAGGTTGCTAAAATGACATGGGCAGCCTGTCAGTTTGGAACACTTAGCCTCCAGAAGATCTGTCAGAGTCTCCTGATGAAGCAAAGAAACTCAGTACAAAATAGTGTTAGTCAGCCACTGGAAACTAAAACAACGCAAAAAACCTAAACATATTAAATTAAAGAATGAAAGGATGAAACTGAAGGATGACAGTACCACCGCTGTGCAGTTAGAATGAGATTAAAACAAAAGTGCATGTTTGGCAAAGCACTGAGTAAATATTTCATGTCCATTGCCAAGAGAGAGGTGGCAGCTCAGTCTGTGACAGGGTTTGCCCTTTGGTTACTGGAAAATACCTTTCAGTACCATGTTCCTGTAATCAACAGGCCTGTACAGGCAAATGACCTGCTTAGCACCCAGCTAGTCAGTTCTGCATGCTCATATCCAAGTTACAACATGTCAAACCACATGTTAAATTTGATAAAGTTTGGCAGAAAAGCAAGCTCATGGTCTTTTCAAAGTCAGGCCCACTGAAATGCTTATTAAAATATGCTGGTAACCAAAAAGGATGCTTCAGCATAGCACTCCTATCTCCTTTAGCCCTACAACAGATTAAAAAACCCATTTTTGTCACTGCTATTTGTGCCA